CCACTAATCAAGCTCCCCTCCCACACGGGGCCCCGCGGGTCCCGCAGGCGTCCAGCAGCCGGGCGCTGCCATCCCTCTGATGCAGAAGCAGCTTCCTCCCCGAAGAGGGACATGCTTCTCTTCCTGGCTGTGCTGAACCCTGGCCCTGGTTATGGGCCTAAGGCAACAAGCAACGATGCGGGGAGATGCTGAGAAGACCAAGAACCACCTCGGGAGGTGGCTGTCCCGGGTGAGGCTTCGGCGTGGTCTGCAGACCAGGGGAGGCCACTCCTCTCTGGCAGAGAGAAGGGAGCGCCTTCTGCCCTGAGGACCCAGGCTCCTCGGGCCGGCGCCCCCAGCGGCATCGTGCCACATCTCGGGGACGCACTCTCGCCACGAAGGCTCTCCCCTCGACATGGGGACACATCCTCTTGCAGCATCTCCATCTTCACTGTTAGGGCCGAGGCCTGAGTTTTAGCCCAGGCGGCCTTGTGGGTGACAGAGACGAGGGTCTCCACAGAGGCCCCCCGGCTTTCACGGGGGGCCTGGAGCTGACCGCCCCCTGACCTGGGCCTGTCACGTCCATTCCTTTCCTTCTCTTTTGAAAGACGGGCTTTCATTTTTACAGAATGTTGGAGTTACAGCAAAACTGAACAGAAAGTGCAGATCGATCCCACACACCCTCCATGCCCTCCCCCAACACGCACACAGCCTCCCCCACAGTCAACACCCCACACCAGAGGGGCGCATTTGTACACCACAAAGTAAGGGAGCGAAAATGAATTGTGATATGCCAACAACAATAAATTGAAAGTAGCTAAAAATGTCTTGGTAAAAGACAAAGATTTTTAGAGTTATTTCTTAAATAAGCAATATTCAGTTTATACCCTACCTGTAGGAGACATGCCTGAAACATATGGACACACAAAAGCTGGATGTAAAGCGTGAAAAATGCATGCCCGGCAAATGCTAATCCAAAGAAAAGAAATGCTGTGGTGACGTCACCAGCGGACAAAACAGTATTGAAGGAAAACAGTGCAGCCACAGAAGCAGGGGGTCACATGATAGAACCTTCCTCACCAGAAAGATGGAACAATTGTAAGCGACATGAACCTCAAAAAAAGCCTTAAAATAGGAAAAGGAAAAAATTGACAGAACTGTCAGGATAAATCAACAAATTTATGATCAAAGTATGTTGTTAACATTCCCCTCTTACTAACTGATTTTTCTAGGAGCTAAAAAGTTAACAAAGATACAGAATATCTGAGCAACGCGAAGACCGACCTAACAAAAATGTCCTGGCTTTCGCGCACAGATGGAGAGCGCACATTCTTTACAAAAGCTGATCATGAGAAAGGCCACGAAGGAAGCCTCAGAAGGGTTGTCGTCACACCGACTGGCGTCATCCAGCCACGGTGCAGCTAAGTAGGAAACCGACAGCGGTGACGACAAGGAGCCGCTGCTGCGCTGCCAGTGGCTGTGGAAGCTGGAGAAAGGACCGCTTCCCAGTAACTCATGGGCTAAAGGGAGCATCACAGACCTCAGAAAATACTTAGAATTGAGCCCTGATGAAAATAGTGCTCATCAAAACAAACGTGAAAATGCAGCCAAGGCAGTGTGGGCAGCAAAGCTCATAGCCCGAGAAATGAAGAAACGTGAGAAATGAAGAAAACCTAAACATTCATGAGCTAAGCATCCAACTTAAGGTGCTAGAAAAAGTGCAGAAAGTGAAGGAAAGTGATGGTAAAGATAAGCGAAGAAAGAGAAGAGAAACATGTACTAGAGGCAGTGAAAACACCCCCCCAAATTAGTGTTTTGGAAGGACTCATAAGATAAGTATTTGTCAAGAGTGATCAAGAAAAAAGGCCCAGTCTAAGGAGAGGAAAAATGCCCCCAGTTTACAAAGGGGTCTCCTGGCATTCTTAAGTTTTCAAAGACGAGATTTAAAATTCCTTCTGATTTCAGCTGAAGCTCTTCACGGGAAGCCTGAGCCCAGAGACTGCACGTGACCTGTGCAGGGACAGAAAGTCAGTGGGTCTGTCTGTCATCCGCCTGGAGCTTGTCTGACCTCAGTGCCAGTCTTGTCCTTCACGTGGCCTGACATTTCTCACAGGAGAACACTCCCTTTGAGCTAGAAGCCACGGCACCTCTTAGAAGAGGTGGGTGGGCGCTGCGGGTGTGCACCCCAGGGCTCCCTTCCACCGGCTCGACCCACCACGAGCCCCTACGTCGTGGGAAACAAGGTGGAACGATAAATGCAGTGGGGCTGAAAAGTCCGTGCCCTTAACGTCCAGTCAGAGAGGCCATCTTGGAGGGGAATGACGGGACAGAAGGTGAGGGTGCTTACGCGAGTCCAAGACACAGACGTGATAGTCGAGTTGCTGTGAGAGAACTCGGTTTCTGCTCGTGTGAGGGCTGGGGACGGAAGATGAGAGGGGAAGGGAGGCAGCGGGGTGTGGGGCTGGGGACCGCGTGAGTGGATGTGGTCAGCATGCATCCCCCGGGGGTGGAGTGGCTGACAGGCTTCTAAGGTGAGGCTTGCTACTCCAGTCTGAATAAACATGGGCTGCTGCAAGGTAGCAGGGCTGTGTCTGTACGGAACACACTTCCATTTAACCTGCTTCCCACTGTGAACCTGTAGAAATGGAAGGCTGGTGACTCGTCACGTCAGGCTCTGGAATGAAAAAGAAAAATGAGTAAGAACGGAGTTTCAGTGGTGGCCGTGCGAGTGTGAGCCCATCCTGTGGAGTGAGGACGTGGTGGGCGCCGCAGTTACACTGCATTCAGCTCTGAGTGAAAGACGGCTTCAAACAAGGAGTTGGTGCGGTGTCTCCGGGTTATCACGGGGGACCCGGGTTCGCTCTCACTGCTCTGCGTGTGTGGCTTCTGTCCTCATGGTTGCCTGGTGGCTGCTCTCCGGCAGACATCTTGCCCGAGTTCCAGGGAAGGAAAGGAGGCCAGATGCGTGAATCTGTCCTCTTCCGAAAGCCTTCCCAGGAGCCCCACCAGCCTTTTGCCGGGGGGTCACATGGCCACGCCTAGCTGCAAGAGCGCCTGGGAAGGAGGCTGTTTCGGCTGGCGTATTGCCCCGTGAACAAAGCCCGGGCTCTGTCACTGAGGAGGACGTGGGAAATGGCTGTTGGGTAGGCGATTAGCCGTGTCCGCCACGAAGCTGCACCAGCGCTCAGTGGGCTGGGAGATCCCAGGAGCCATCTGGGTTATTTGGAGATGAGTAAGACGGTCCCTGAGGAGTTCACGATTTGAAGGGTGAGACAGGCACCTAATTGGAGTAACCAGAACACTGAGTCACGCTTTAATATAACGTGGTCAGGGGAGGCAGTAGAAGTAAGCGTGGGGGGGCTCTGGACACAGAGGCAAGACGGCTTGGCTGGGAGGGGGGAGACCCCCCTGAGCAGGAGATAGTTACGTGGGGGAGGGTACAGCTGGGCAGTGGAGCACATGCTTAGCATGCACGAGGTCCTGGGTTCAATCCCCAGCACCTCCATTAAAACGACTAACTAAATAACAAACCTAGTTACCCCCCAGCACCCCAACCCCCCCAGAAAGAAGTTAGTTAGGTGGCAGTGTGTCTGTGGCTGTGGTGAGGGAGGGGCCCTCCTTGGCAAAGGGGGTCCCTGTAAGTGAAGAGCAGGGGTGCGGAGTCCGTGTGGTGGGGGTGGAATCACAGGCAGGCTCGGATACGAGGACCCTCAAGTCTAAGGTGGGAAGGGACACAAGTGGTCTGGAGACGGGAAGACGGTCAGGGCTCGCTGCCCGGGTGTGCATCTTGGTCTGTGTCCTAGAGACTCGGGGAAGCCACTGGAGAGCGCTGAGCACAGGAGTGACGGTCGTTTCGGATGGCATTCCGGCAGCTGCATTGTGGGGGGCGCTCTCAGATGTCCGGGCAGGGTCCGTGCCGCCCGTCCCCAGGGCTGTCATCCCGATGTGGTGCCCTGTACTCACGCAACAGAGCGGAGGGGCCGGGAAGGGGGACTGGGAGGGGAGGGCGAGGCCAGATTACTGCTGCCACTGTGCATCGGTTTTGGAAAGAGAACTTTAAATCAAGAAACTTCTGATAAAAACAACCTCTCCTTTTTCAAAGTTGAGGCAATTGCCCTGAGAGGGGTGAGTGCGTTGTCCAGTCTCACCACTGCTGCTGAGCCGACGGGAGTCCAGTCTCCTGCCTCCCTCGTCAGTTCTCATTCAGATCTCAGACCGTGCTTCTCTGTCCCTCGTGTTGGCTTGACTGTCACCTTGGAAGGGAGAGGAGTCCTGGCCTTGAGGAGATGACCCTCGGGATTGTGGCAAGGGTGGGGTGCTTTGAGGCGTAGAGGCAGCTAGACTCGGCCGCACAGGTAGGGGTCGGGGGTGGGGGTGTCACGGGAGGCGGAGGAGGTGGCTCCGGAGCGGGAGAGGCTGGGGGAGACTGGGGAAGAGTGGGGGAGACTGGGGAAGAGTGGGGGAGACTGCAGGGGACTGGGGGAGGGAGGCGAGGC